TAGTTTCTTGCACCAAACGCAGATGAGTATACTCGAACACATGGCCCTATAATTAGAAAGTGGGTAGAAAAGGTGTCGTACTAATTTCTTTATCAGTAAATGTAACTGTTGAGGCGTAGAGCGGTTGCCAAAAGTGCTTGAAAGGCACATTTTCACATTCCATTTTACCACTTAGTTTTATCAGCATCTTCTAATCTTGTTAATCACCTTTCTGAGTTTTACTTCTATTTTCATTACTAAAAATAGCTGGAAAGCAATTCTGCGATCTTTCCAAGGCGGCCTAGATTCATTACAAATTGGAAACATTCAACAATTTCTCTTTATCTTCATCCTTTTCGAAAAAAAAATAGCAGCAAAATTTATTGGTTGTCGTGTGCTCCAATAAAGCAAAAAAAAGCTGTACCAAATAATAACCATGGGTGTGGCGCATTGTATACTAGGTTGTTGCACAATTACCTGTTCATCTGGTTTGAGTCAAAGTTGTTGAATAAAACACCAGGGGCCGGATTCATCATTGGATTTACCCAGGGAAATCGGCCACGTAGCGGCCACGCCCCAACCATGGCGATGTATCCAGATTCATCATCTTTGTAACCACTACCTTAACGACAAAAAAGGGATTAAACATGTACCCGTCGCTAAGGCAGGGTTTCGTAGTTAACTTACCTCCTCATTACTTGATCCAGTGATGGAAATGGCACATGCTGAGATCACCCACGTATTTGCGGTAAATGTCAGTTGTCTCATTAGGTACTGAACACGAGAATTGTAAAATATTTCTTATTTGATTCAATTTGTAAACACAATGTAACACTGTAACACAAACGAGTACGTATATGACCGAGAAGAATCTTGCTTATCTAGGAAAAACCTTTTGAGCATCTCTATACAGTTACAATTTATATTTTTTTCGAATATTCTTATGGAAAAGAACAGATTGCAGAAAAATTTGTAAATTGATCAAATGCAAGAATTAAATCAGCTCCCCATAAGTGGCGTCATTGAAGGATACTAAAAAGGTAAAGACCAAGCTTACTGCGGCCTTTCACTAAAAAACATGAATTTAGAGCGTTATACAATCATTTCACTCATTGATTGAAAGATGCGGTGAAATTCACAACTTCAGAGTTCACACCTTGAGCACCAGTTAGCACCTCCTTGTAATATAATTTCAATCTTCAATTGTCGAGAGAACAAAATATGAGAAGACAGGCAGCATTTTCCGAATCATGCAAGTGAATCGTAACGGCAGTCTGTTTGCATTTAGTCCCAGAAAATCAGTCTCGGCATGAAAATTCTCAAACACAGATTTCTTCCCATTTAAATATGGAAACCCAGAAATAAGTAAGTCAAACCTTCAACTGTAGCCATATAGAAGAAACAATCTAGGCATAATAAGGATTTTACCACTGAAATTAACTTCTTCTAGTAAAGAGTCCCCGGGAAAAATCTTATAGAAAAGGACAAAACAAAATTTTTCGTTCAACAATTCTAAAGGTATTCACTTCCAATGGGTGCTTAGTGAAGAAATGAATGCACATTGATTGAACAAAATTGCTAAATTATAACTTCAACGACATATGCGCGTGAAACGTGAAAAAAATACAACACGGCTTGGCAAAATTGCATCACAGCGTAACCCAATGAGAAATCCACAGCATATTAGAAAATTCCGACACCACAAACACGTCATGAGACGTTACCTTGAAGCGCCAGTGCGCGGCGACTGGGTTCTGAGTATCTCGTCACCTTGCGGGGTACAGTATTATGTGCGATTTTCACCTTAGGGTTGAAAATATTGGGTGTACAACTTAATTCGGTCCGTTTTTTTTTTGCTTGAAAAACGCATTTATTTGAATCATAA